ACCACACCATGTTTTAAAGGAGCAGTAGCACAACAGCAACAACTTATTGCTGCAGAAATAAACTGCAGAACTATTATTAATTCTTCCGTTATTTGTGGTGGATAATGTAATGTTTCCATCATTACATTACTTCAAATAGGGCCTGATCTGACTGAACTCAATAGATGAGTCTACAGAAGTTCCCATTGACTTAAGCAGAATTACTTACTAAATAAGGCTCCAATCTACACGTAAATGCCCTTATAATGATATTAAAAGTTGACATGCAGTTAAAAAAAGTATACAGAAAAGGTAAAATTACATGTTTTGAGTGTATTTTGAGTGTATACGTTTGACTGACTTGTCATGCCAACTGAATATGACAAAGACTTCACTTGAGCTTTTATGCCGGGCGGAATAGTCTTTCTGTGATCAAGGCAGATACATTTCCTGCCGTAGTGGTGAGTGACTATGAAGTAAATGCATTTTTCAATCGATGTGTTGAAAAGACACATCTAAGAATTCATTTGGGTTTTAGAACTACTCCATTGTGGAAGAGCACTGCTTTAGTCTGGTCACCCAGAAAATTTAAGTAATCTCTCGCTTTAGGGCAGCTTCAGGGAAAGCATATATTTGTTCTTCGGTTGTTACAATGCTTTATTTCCCTGCTATGTGTAGGAAAAGATAGCCCATTTTGAAAAAAACAAAGCAAGCGAGAGCAAGAAAAGAGACAAATCAGAGAAGTGGGGAAGTAGCAAAAGGGCTATATATTAAAAATCAATCAATAAAACAAGTATTTCTGTGTGCAGCAGAACTAATGAAGCTTTGGTTTACTATGGATTTTGTCTCATGGCTGCATTAACTAGTATCTATATGACCTCCAACTTATTATTTTCCATAGTGAGTGCCATTTATGGTGTTTTGACCCTAAGTGATTTTTCTGGGACTGGATAAACATGAGTTAACCTTGCAGTCTTATAAAAAGTACTGTATCTGACCAATTATTGTCATAAAAATTGTAGAACAGTTGTATCTTGGATACAACTCTGTGTGCCCTCCTTCAGATTTGGTCAAAGTGCATTGGCCAACTGGTTGAAAAGCCATGGGGAGCATAGGAAAACAAATGCTGTGGGCATGTATGCCTCATTTCCTTAACAAATGACTCTAATCAGCCAATTGCTCCCTACATGTTTGTGAATAAAAAAATGAATAAAATGGAGGAGACAGCTAAAAAGCTTCAGAAAATGCCAAGCTTTGGGTGCGGTGATGAGAGGCAGCAATGGGCACCATATATGAAAATCAACTGGAAAGAATGCCCTTTGCAGTTTCATGGGGAGATACTCTATTTAACTTTCATGCCATGGTTTTCTTTCAAAGTCGTAACTAAGTTCACAGGGGCAACCTTTACAATAGGGTTTATCAAAATTTTCAGAAATCCCTTAAGAAGCAGCTTTGTGACAGTCTATTGCCAAAACTCAAAATAGCAGTAAGCTGAAGTATAACAGCATGAAAATTGGTGAAAGAAGAGAATTTCCAGCGTTAGAATTCTAAGGCTTGTATCTCAGACACAGTCAACATGAGTTAAAGCTAAAACTTTTCTCTTAATACTCTATCTGGCCATTTTCTTCACCAAAACTGTAAGACTAATATATTTGAGGTCTGTCTGGCAGTCTTGTCAGCCATTAGTACAAGAACAGCTAAAGGTTCAGTTCAATTTGCAGATGGCAAGAAAATGAATATCATAGTTGGACCTAGGGTAACTAAACAAATAAATTGATACATTTGTTTATTAATAAATGCATACATTTTCTATCCATACTCATTGTGCATCCACACCTACAAGGTCCTTAACTACAGTATTTAAAGCCAGACAAACCTTTTTGCAGTAAACACTTTCTGCTGCGATATTGATGTGTTTATTGATCTTCCTTTAAATGTGGTTGGATGGATGCAAAAACAGAATCACAGAGCAGTAGCCCCAGGAAACATCTAAAGGGATCCTCTAGTCCAGGTTTATGCCAATGGGAGATTAAATTTTGCGCATTTCTTAGAGACTCCACAAGCTATTCAGGCAACCCCTTCCTGGTCTTTACAATGCCAAGGCCTCTACGGCTCAGAGGTGTTACTAACGACCATCTGAAGTGTCCCTGGTGCCATTACAGTTTGTTACTTCTTGTCTCGTCTTTGGATATGGATAATAGTATGCAGCTTTTCATGTTTGTGTTCTCAGGCCAAAATAGGTTCTGGGTTTGCTCCCACATAAGGCAACATTATGAGTGTTTCCATGGATTCCCCCACCTCTGAGAACTCTGGAATACTTAATCTTGAGCATTGGTTTCCCCCTTCTGTTTAATTATGACTGAAGCACTGTGATGTGCATTATAATTAAAACAAGCTGGAAATCTAGAGAATAATTGACAAATTTTTTTTGCAACTCTTGAAAAACTTGTCTGGTTAATTTTATTTTAAATCTCATTTTCATAAAATGATTTATTTTAATCTTCCAATCACCATCCGCATAAGAAGTATAATCAGCAATCCAAAATTAAAATCCTTTGCAACCTCTGCCTTTCAAATCAATTACAAATTAAATCTAAAAAGGTTGTATTTTGATGGAAGAAAAACCTTTGTAAGTAATCTGAATGCATCAGTCCTTTCTATTCGTGTCTACTTAAGTGAAATATACTCCCTTAGTTAAAAAGAACGTAAATATCATTAAAGATTTTGTTGTTGTTGTTGAAATTTTGTCTGTCTTCATCAGGTCTTAAAGTAAATTCCGGGTTAAAAGCTTTAGAGTTTTTGCCAGATGGCAGGGGAGTAGAGGTCTTTCACAAGCAGCTGATCAGCAGAGGCGGTTAAGATAATGGAAAAAAATGGAAGATTTCAGCCAGATTCTACCTGGCCGAAGATGCAGAGGCTATGAGAAAAACAGCATCTTAGCAATGGCCATTGAACACTGACCATGGAACATTGTTGGTGGAAGCATTTACAGTATTACCTTACGGCATTACTTTCTTCTTTTGACAGTTGATAGCTAAATGATTTTCAGGGACCAAAACTGGTTCAGTCCTGAAGATTTCTAGAAATCTCACCACCACCATTTATCACCATTTCTCACCATTTCTTATATACACCCGTGTCATTTTCATTTGAAAAGTCTGTGACAAATAATTCTACTGAGTGTCTGCCCAGTACTGTACTCACCAGGAAGTGCTTTTGTTAATACAGGCTTTTCTGTTGCTTGGTTCAGAAGGCTGCTGGTAAATTCCCTTCCTGTTAGCTGTGTTTGAGTAATATTCTTGCTGCAAATGGCAGCAAACAGTGAAGACCATAGTACATGCAAGAGGGCCGAGCAGTTGTGAAAGGGCATCCTCTAAGTTACCAGAGAGGACTGTTCCCTCAGTGCAAGGATTTCATCTGCTGGTGACTGTACAGATTCCAGACTAAGCTAACAGCAAATACCGTGTAAGCGAAAATACCTTTGGAAGGAATACATTGGAAGTAACTGTCTTGCAACATAATGAATCGCTCGTTAACTGTCCCCATTCTGTGCATGCAGGCGTAAAAGATACCATCAGTTCCTGTGTATCAGACAGTTTGAAGTGAGTTCTGAGAGAGCAGGAAGAAAATGTTTCATAGTCTTGAACGTTTTCTTACTACCTGTTAAAAGGCGTGGAATTTTCTGCTCCTGAATTTGTAATTGAAATCAGATCCAGTCTTCTCCCTAATTAAACTTAAGTGCCCAAATGGACACTTTATTTACATCCCATTCACATCCATCTGATAAAACAAGTAAATATAACAAGAAATCAATTGAGTAATGCTTTCCATCTTCAAAATTCATCATTTGTAAATTAATGATAACTCTTTGTGATACATGAAAACTTTTTCTTTGGTTAATGACTTGCTATGAAATACTGAAACGCTGCATTATGCGAATTTTCTCCTAGCAAGAGCCAAATGTGAGAAATGTTACTGATTACAAGAACATTCTTTTTCCTTGTGAATACTTTGTTCTGCTAACATTTTGAAATCATAATGGACTGTGGGCAAGGACTTGATGCGTTCCTTCTAAGCCTAGTAACTAGCAGAGACTAGAAACAGGAAGTTGAAAATACAGATCAGGATTGAATAAGAAATAAGGAGTTTACCAACTCCATGTTCAGTTTCTTCAATGGGAACTCATGTTAGAGCTTTGCTTAACTAAATCACAGAAAAATTGACCCAACGTCGATTTTTGAGGTAGAAGAAAATTTCAATTCATAAAAATATCTCTACATCTGTAATTGTATTTATATAAACAGGGCCATGTAAGTATCAGTGACAAAATAATCAGATTTGGATTTGAGCTGATGTGGCCTTGGCTTAAGCTGGGGGGCTCTATCTGCCCCTTAGCAGCCAGTGCGGACAGGGAGAAACTGTGTGATCCTCTGTTTCTGCGAATATGGACCAGCTCAAATGGAGAAGGTTCTTCAGGCACTCTGACTTCTCCACCGGGGTTTTTAGCAGGATACCAGTTCTACCTGGAGGATAGGAGCCTTAGACAACTGTCTGGTGAGACTGTACTAAGGAACTACAGCATCTCGGACAGGCCACGAGAGGTTTATCAGGTCGTAACAATCTCCAGCAGCCATAGACCTCTGCCAAAATCAAATGAATAACATAAATATGGAAAGCTATGTATCCTGTTACCAGTTTGATGAGTCATCCTACTTCCTCAAGCTTTGGACTTAGTGGTCCAGGACTAAATTAAATATCCACAGTCCAAAGGATGTCAAATTCTATGCAGTCATCCAAATATATTATGCTATTTTAGCGTTATAGAGAGATACACTGTAATTGAGATAATTGGGAATATTTATTTTCAGCCTTGTTGCTAAAGGACTTAGAAATGTTCCTCTGAACACTATTACAAAGACTGTAAGAGTAGAGAAAAGCATTACTTGAAAGACAATTATTTTTATTTAACTCCAAACTGAAAAAGAAAATAATTTATGATGTTCACAGCTTTTGATAAAATGTGTTTATCTCCAGAAGCATGCATAAAAATGCATTAACACAGTGTCAAAGAACTATTACAAATCTAGTTTGGTTCTTTTTTTAGACAGAGCATAACTGCAAAACAGTATGATGAAGATCTGGAAGTGTTTCTGGTCGGGTTTAGTTTTTCTTCTTAAATACCTGACGGCACACCTGGTCTTCACATGTCAGTTCCTGCAACATTAAAACAATTTATAAGTATATAGTGGTACAAGCTGCATTTCACATATACCCCCAGCAATTATATGAGCGAGCAACTGCATTAAAAAGTAGTACTTACGAAAAAGAGAACAGGAAATAAAAATAGCATTTTAGATTTAACTAATAATAATCAGTTGTCATGCACTACAGGTTGCAGTAATTAAATTCTGACACTTGAATTGAGCTTTCTAAAACATAAAAATGAAAAATGCCTAGAAATTACTCTGTGATGAGAGACTTTTGCATGCTCTCTTATTAAAATAATGTGGTATAATATTTTATAATTTTCTTATTATCTCATAATTTATGAGAAGCACTGAAACAAGGGAAGTATAAGAAAATAGTGGAGAACACCTCAAAAGGATGGGGTCATTTGCTTCAGGGAACAGATGTGCCCAGCGATTGCTCCAGGCCGGATGAGCACAGAGTTCCCGGGAAGTGCTGCTCACGTGGTGCCGCCCGGCGCGCCTGCACGCTCCAGGGCGCGCAGCTGGCTCAGCCTTCTCACTGCCTAGTGGTCCCAGGCCACTGTGGCTTCAAAGCAAGCAGAAGAGGACTTTTTGGCCAGCACTTGGCCAAACTTGTGGTAGAGCGTTGAGAGAATCTACTTGGGGTCTCTGCTTCCAGCAATCTGAGCTTGTATGCCGGCACCAGCATGTAGGATCTTTGTTCAGCTTCAGGGTAGAGTTTAAAAGTGATGCTGGACAGCTGGCGTGCATACTGGCTTTTAGGGAGGTGGAGGGATATGGTTTTTTTAGTCCATTGCCTTGACCTTTGAAGCATACAGACTTCAGGCAATATTGGCCTGAAGAGTATGCAGCTGTAGGGTCAGCCTGTCGTGGAGTAGTTATCTAGAGGTTAACTGGCTTATTACAAGCCAGAATTAATAAACTCTTCTCCATAATCTTTCTGTACCTGCTCTGTTGTCCAGCATTACCATGCCCATTTCTTGACTGCTCTTCCAAAAACTTTGGTATTATTACATAATATGTTACTTATCTTTCTGTCTTCACTGACTGCTCATTTCCTGCACAGGCCCTTGCAGCCTCTCTCATGCTCACTACATTTATCTTTGGGCCCTAGCTTATAAACTCAGCTCTTTGAACTTTTCTTTTTTTTATTGTATGAGCATAAGATAACTGCAGAGTAGATTGCAGAATCCTTTTGGGTATCCTGAGAGTGATTTCTGATCTGGATTCCTGCATAGTTCTTGTTAAAACTGCATAGTTCAGGAGAAGAATAATATTTTTCTCGTAATCTTTTCCCTATCCCTTTTTTTCCAGTACCAATGGTTATCTGAGAACCAGAACTGGCTGAATGGCAGTGGACAGGAGCAAAAACTACTGGGATCTTAGAGGTGCAGCATAGCCTGGAAGGGTTACTGGCTGAAGGGCAGTGGACAGGAGCAAAAACTACTGGGATGTAGTAGTCATTAGAGTCATTAGAAAGAGTCATTGGGAGTCACTAGAAAGAAACTCCTGAGTTGTAGTAGAGGCAGAGGGGGTTATCTTAAGAGTTTAGAGATCAGAGCTGTCTGAATGAAGACAATTCTAAATGGAATAAGTAACATAACCTTAGAAGTGGAAGTGTCCTACCTTACTGCGGTCTCAGTTATGTTGTATGTATCAGTTTAGCAGCCCTTACCAGATAAAGTCTGTCTCCTTCAATCCAGTGCTTCCAGCCTCTGTTATTCTTTTCACCTTTCTGAACACCCACGATTTGGTCACCATTCCAGGTCACTAGTGTCTGCATGGATCAAATAATTAACGCAGGTAGGATAAAAAGGTGTTTATGAATACATGAAAACAAACTCAATCAAAAAATGACAAGATTCTGTTTACATTTGCTCTCTACTGGTCCTCATCATCCTCCTAAAAAAAACCTAAAATCAACCAGTGAACCAACACCCTAAATGCTTTCAAGGAGACAATACCATTTAGATGTGAAGCTTTTACCTTTCTTTTTATGTTATCAGTTTCCATGCATTTCTTCACATACACTCATACACAGTGTTCATTCTAGCTGGAGAATTTCTCAGAGAGTTTCCATATACTTGTATGAAATGAATGCATGAAAACTGTGTTTTTCTTCCTGTATGAAGCCACCAATAAAACCATTACAAGGTTTCATGAGTGAAAATCTGGGTCTTATATAAATTAGTGCAATGCTAACAACTTTTCTAACTCAGAGAAAATGTGTATTAATATACATCATGTTGTACAATGCACATATTTTGTAACATCTTGCATGCACTTTCACAAAGGAACTTTAAAGAGAGATGACCTTAAGCCAAGAAGAGAAAGAAGGTTTTACAGAGAAATTTAAAGTGCAGCACTAACGCAATGAAGGAGAAAGGCAGGGGGCTGGAGGTGAGGCGGAATAAGCAGCAGATGCAGGAGTGACTCTGTGACCTAACCCTCATTCTGGGTGTGCACAGGGACAGGACAACGCTGGTCAGTAAACGTAGGTGCGGGAGGTCAGGAAGGCGTCATGAAATTCTCAAGAGATAAAGAATAATTAAAAAAGGAGGTCTGTAGGCTTGGAGCCTAGGCCACCACTCTCCACTAGAGTGTCTAGAATGGGATTCACTGAAGAACATACATTAATGAGTTATCTGCAACGCTGTGGGCTCTGTGCAGCTGAAGGATCAGGAGTTCCAGGAAACAAATATTTTCATTAGTCTAAATAGAAATCAGTAAAACTTATCTAAAATGGCTTGCTTCTCAAATCTAGCAAGTCATGCAAGGGTAAGCCAGGATGCATTCTGGAATATTTATCAGGCATTGAGGGACATATAGGTAATTAAATGAGAGAAAAGAAAACAGAAGTTAGCTAGATATCTGATGTCTACTCTTGAGGGGAAATTTAAGGTCAAAAGTTTAAGCAGTGGTAGACTCACATGGTAAGCATGGCTCTGAGGATAATCTCTGAATTTCAGTCCAGTGTTTGAATTGCTCTCTAGTAATATTCATATAATATAGGTAGGTCTGAATCAAAGTCGGTATGTGTAAGAGCAAGTCAAAAATGAAATAACGGCTGTTGAAAGAGACTAATCTGTACTTAGGAATGCTTAATTATTGTGGAATGAATGTATAATGTTGTCCAGTAATCTATAGATAATTCAGTATTTCTCAGGTTCCTGTTGTCTTTCTCAGTCTCTTTGTACGGTTGGAAAAAAAAATCTTCAGAAAATTTCAGGCTACTTTGTTGCTCTGTTTCATAAATTTCCTCCCTCCAAAGAGGTTGACAGTACCTTCCCCAAATATATTATCCAAACCAAATTCTTATTTGACCTGAATGATCTTGTTAGTGCTAGTACTACCTGTCAGAACAGACCGTCCCTATGGAAGAACATGTACTGGAAGTTCTGGCATCCAGAAGCTCCAAGAAGGGAGCTAATTCATCATCTACTTCAATCCTACCAGAGTATTTTTATGGGAGATACTGGACATGTTGATTCTTGTCCAAGAGCAGGATGACCATCTCTGAAATTAAAAGGCTTTTACAGGCTAAATTCACTACTAAAGTATGCTAGACTAAATTTGGAGCAATTTCCTTTCAGTTATTTTAGATATGAACCACTGTAGTTTGAGGAGACATTTAACCATGTATCATGTGTAAATCCTCATCAGAGACCAGCTAAAGTCAATGGAAGTTTGGTTATTGAAAAGCTCCAAGAGAATTAGGAGCTTAATTCATTTTCTAGTTCAGTACTGGATAATTTATTTCTCTTATGAGGGAACTTTCCATTACTAAGAAGACAAAACTCATTCCATTTCAGTAAACTTCTTTTTTATTTACTGACTTTTAAGCTACATGCTCTATAAATTTAATCGATGATCTTTTATCAATGGTTGCCTAGTAATTTTGTTCATCTAACTTTAGTGTGGTTGGGGTATTTTTTCATTAATATAATGAGCAGATTGTTTTTTTTTAAGAGCGCTCCAGAGAATAGCAGCACTTTCCCTTCCCTCTTTTTCCTTGTTTCAAACAAACAATCTAATTTGTCTAGAGAAGAATGTTAGGTAAAAGTGATTAAACTAGGCAGAGTTACAGTTGTACAAGCTGTGCTTCTTTCTTGCAGCCAGATAATTGATAATGAAGAGAGATCAGAACATCTGCAAGTTAAGTGATTTTGCACAGAAATAGGCAGTGGAGGAAAGCAGTAGAACAGTGTAAGTCTATGGATGTAAGGAGTGATCTAAGTCATGATCCCTCAGATCCTCAGTGGTGCCTTCGATCTATAGAAAATTGGGAGCAACATTCAAAAGCATAAGCTGTGTCACAGGAGTATATCCTTGTGGAGAAAGTGATAGGGGAGAATTATGCTAATTATTTCTGTTTTGTAGTAAGTCACTAATTCTCATATTTTTTTTATATTTACTTACAAAGTTGATTTTTGAACTGTTTACCAGTTGCCAGGTTCAATGTAAACAGAAATTAAGCACTATATTAATACCTTTACCACTCGGTTATCGAGTCCTTTGGTATGTTCTTCAAATTCCACTCCCACAGTGAAGTTCACTTCATAGTTTCTGAAAGTGCTGAGTGTTTTTGTTTTAAAATTGTCTCCATCTTGAATAATCTCCTTTGTTTGTTTCAAGTGCTTCGCAATTTTACGAGTTGCAAAATCAATATCTGTTGATAAACAGGAAAAAAAGAGGAATCACAAAGAAAATCTGGACATTTGTTACCAGCATTTATATTTGCACATAATAAAAATATCCCTATATTTAGTTCCATAAATGACATTTTTACCTGTAGCATTTTGGAGAGAAGATGATCATTTTTTAAAAAAGGAAATCTTGAGTTCTGTGTAAGCAGATCTTCAATTTGAGGATGTTCCTACTGACTCTATACCTATTTATGAAGATGGTGGCTGTAGAAAGGTTATAAGCAGAGCTGCAACATGTACCCACTAGTGGTTATGTACTGGCACATTAAACAATCTCAGTCTCCAGCTTTAGGAGAATTAAGACATCATGGGCAGTTAAGACTGACATTGCTTGGTGCCTTCTCAGCCTCACTCAAACTTTAAGCTGTGGGATGCTATGGGTGCATCATCATTTTATGCCTGAGAGCCGTTCTCCCTTCCTCGTGTGCAGTGTAAATCCCGTAGCTGCCAAGCATGGGGGGTTTTGGTCTATGTTGTGCCGGGTTACAGATGCTGGCCACCCCCCACAGGGAGGAACTCCGAATAAGGGGAACTTCCTGTTCAGCAGTAAGTAAGCATTTTAGAATAGATGTGAAATCCAGGGGATTTGGGCATGTCATTTTTATATTGAATCTACAGTCCACAGGAGTATGCAAGAGGTTAACCAATTAATTAAAAATTACAAAAAAAAAAAATCAAACAAAAGCCTGGCTTATTCATTGCCTAAGGCAGCAGAGACAGAAGCAGATTGTAGTTAGATGCTAAAGGAAGAAAGATTTCTTTCTTTGTGTGTATGTATCTGCGCATATATGTGTGTACAGATGGATGATAAAAAACAGAAAGTCAAAAAAAAATCAGCGTGAAGCTTTTGACAGTTCCTTTTTAATATTCTGTCAGCATTTGTGCAGCACTGATCTCCTTAACATTCTTTACTTTGGTCATGATGAAGACTAACATTATAATATAAACAACTGCTTGCAACTGAAGGCATTGAGAGCTACCAAAAGGGGAATATATGTTACCGTCGTGACAGTTTGCCCCAGACAATCCGCCTAATGCCAGCTGCATTACCATCTGCAATAAATATTTCTGACCAGCTGGTAGTGAATCCTATTATGGTGCTAGATGCAAATGAAATAATCTCACATGTTTCTGCAGGAGATTGAAAAATGGTTTTGGTTTGTTAGCCATCTTTTAGTGGTTTCACATGGAAGTTAATCACTGTCAGCTCAGCAATGCCACGTACTAATGGAGTCCTTTTTCTTTTGGTAGATTCATTATAGCACTGTTGAAGCACTAATTGAATTGAGTGAGTGGACTGGCTTGAAAAAATTGTAACTCTTTAACATGGAGGGTAATGTTCTCGTTCAGTATTTATATTCAAGGCTTCTTGGGTATATATTATCTGCTGTGGTGGATTAAAGGTATCTCTGGGTCTAATTTATAGCCAGGTGACACAAAATTTAGATCTCTCGGAAGAAAAAAAAAGTCTAGACTTCCAAAGAAAAGCTATTTCTGGCTAAATATATTAGTCTCGTAGCTCCTGGAGAAAAATCAGGGAAGGTTTTATTAAAGCATGGTTTTCATAACTGCATTTTGAACAATGCAAGCAATAAAAATGAAATATTGTTCTATTATAGTAGATTAAAATGCTTTGTAACATGTTTATGATAAAATCAAAGTTTCTGACTTAAAGGGCAAAACTATTCTTTAATTAAAGTATAGAAATGCATATGTATTAATTATAAGGATGGCTGAATTTAAAGAAAAGAGCCTCGGTGCTTTGAACCCCAGCACTTTAATACTTAAAATATCAACCACATGTAAAATTGAGAGAAACAGAGTGGAAGAGTGTGTTCTCACCCCTTCCGTGTCATTTCCATTCACTGAGAACAGGTGAACACAAGACAGGTTTTCTGTCAGTCACCCTGTGGCCTTATGCATCTCTGTGATGTTTGTTTCACAACTCCAGCAGCAGTTTCTCATTAGTATAGAATACAGTGTATGTATGCAGGTATATAGAGAAATATCATGTATTAATGAAGAATTTAGGAATAGTGGGCCAGATCCAGACAACTCGTGCAAATTGCTTCTTCATCCCAACCAGTCGCTGGGCTTGTCACAGAGGAAGGAGTCTGAAAATGGTGTGAGCAGCCTGAGCAAGCTTCTCTCCCGTAGCACCTGCCCAGGATAGCCAATGAATCAAGCCGTTCCGAGGGAAATTGCATCTCCAGGGCATTCCTTATTCTAATGCATTTGTTTTAGGCTCTCCAGTGGGTCAAGACCTTGCACTCGCATGAATTGTTACTATCTCTTTTCAAGCAGGCTTCTCTGTGTGGTGTCTGTAGTCCAGACCCCACTATAGTCTGAAGTGATCCATTATTTCTCTCAATCTCCACTGAGAAATCAATAAAATCAGAAAAGGATGAAAAAACTCACTTAAGAATAAAATCATGAATTATCAACAAAGTAACTTTCATCATGTGTTCTGTTTTAACCACTGAAATGGTTCCACATATGGCACTGAGTTGCTGTAAGCAATTAATGTAAGTATTATGACCGTTTTTGAAATGCAACAATATCACATCGGTGGTAGAAAGGAGACACTTCCATGTCCATCCAGGGTGTACTGAAGAAATTCATGTCACTGGTGATTTGTTTGAAAATTTTATATTTTCATCCAAGTAAATAACTGTTTCTCTGCTGACCTAAGTAGAGGCAGGATTTCTTGCATGCCACTTGCATAATCATAATGACTTGGAGCAGAAAGAAGTTTATTTTTTACGAGAACAAAAGTGCATGAAGGGCAATTTATATTGAAATAAAACAATTGATGAAGCTAAAGAACATATTTTTCTCAGAATTCTCTCACATTCCTTACAATAAATGAGAATGTCAGTTTGGCTAAAAAAAAAGTTTTCAAACAACATAAAGTGAGTTTGATACGAAATGACAAGGATATTGCTAGCATTCTGTTAACACTGTTTTGATATTCCTCTAGCATCAACATAGCAGGTCTCTCTAATACCCTTCTCAGCAGATACACAAGCTTCGGCTGTCAGACAGGACCTGATAATAAACTATGAAGGTAGTAAATGAAAGCTTTTTAAACATCATCACGGAGGGTGTGGATCAAGTGAACTTCAGTTTAGTTGACCAAGTAAACATATGTGTAGGAAGCGTGTGATCAAAGCTGCCCTGCGGTATAAGCATCACTCCCATACCAGTTGTCAGATATTCAGCCATTTCCATTTTTACAGCCTTTACCACACAACTGTTTTACTGTTTCTATAAATTGAAAACACTAATTAAATACTTAACACTGTTGCTGTTTTCATGATATAAAATATCCTGTTTCTTTTTAACAGAGCCACCTAGGTTGTGATTTGACTATTACAGTAAGATATACCTGGAATAAGAAAGAGCTTCTGTATCTAAAAGCCTATTTTTTCCCCATCTATATCTTTTTTTTTTCACTTATCTTAATAAGGATATCTTTGCCTCATTTTTTTTTTCTTGCCTATATGTTACATTATTGTAACTGCAAAAACATTATAATTATATAATTCTAATATGATTGCCAATAACTGTCATACCACATTACTAAAATAAAATTAGTTTCTCATTATTTTTTAAAAGTTTTAACTTTTAATTGAAACTTTTGTCAATATAGTCAATATTTTTCATTTACCTAAAGCAACCATGTAGCCTTCAAAGTTCTCATTGGATTCCATTTCCCACGTCCCATTGTAATCAGCAGGCATGGTGGCAGGCACTTAAAAGCACGGTCAGATCCAAAGATGAGGCTGGGAACCAGCTCTGCTAAGTGAATGTGTTATAAGCCTTTTCATATCTTTTTTTATAAAGTTTATGGTTTTCTAGATAATAAAGTTTAAAGGTCAGGATGATAACCCTGGAAAACTTTGCCTTCATTAACAGGGTTCAGCTGAACAGCTGGCAGACAAGGAACACTTTCTGAAATGAGTAGTACAGGAAGTGGATTTTACAATGACCTTTGTAAAGAACTAGTTGCTGTTATGGGTCATCTTTGAAATATATATAGCACTATGGCAAATTGTGCAACCCGGTTGAAGTTCTCAAAGTGAATTCTCTTTTTCAGTTCTTTTTTATATGCCTTATTTCCCTACGAAGAACTAGTCTTACAGAGCTGACCATACTCAAAACTCCCGTTTAAAATTGACGGAAGTCTTACATGCGCACCAAGTGCAAGACATGACGGAAAAGGGAATAATTCTCTTGAAAACATTTTTGATTTCCTTTGCTCTTAAAAATATTTTACCCTAATATCTAATAACGGAATTAGAGATATTTCTCGTGTGCCTAATAAGTGTCCCTGTCAGATGTTGGCAGGCATGCTTCATGAGCAACTGCATTTCCATATTTTCATTTTAACTTTAAAAAGGGCAGTCTACAGCAAGTTTGGCAAGTGTGAAACAAAGCCAAATGAATCATAATTGGCATGAATCCTATCTTGAAAAGTTAATTTTTAATTGCTCTGAAGTGGAGCTGTTTGACTTAAAAAGCTGTTTTCAACCACACTGACCATTTCTTACTTCTGAATTCTCTAAGACAAATGCTACTTGAGAAACTGAAAGAGAATGATAGATTTGTTATTTTGTTTTGATCTGTCAGATTCAGATGGCCACAAAAGAAATGGAAAATCTTCTCTAAATCCTGGGAAGCACAGAGGACACCAATGCCTTTGTATTTGTTTTACTAGAAGTATAGATGAAATGCCATAAATGATGTTACAGAGAAAGTCATATGTGAAAATCCTTACCCTTAAAACATTATTCTATGATGCTAACACTTAAAAATTTGATTTTACTTTTTTTGCATTTTCCTTATCTCCACATTATATCATTGTTATTATTTATGCATTTTATATATATTAAATGATTATCTAAAAATAAGATAAGTTATTGCTCCAAAGTCAATCACTCACCAAAAATCAAGTTTAGTTGTGTAACTAACTTCTCTTCAGTTCCCTTGTGCACATGCATAATAATCCTTAAGTGTATTATAATTCCCTGGTTTTCCAGCTGTAAGATATTCCCTCCTTCAGTGCACTAAAGGGAAGATGTTCAGTTTATAAGTAGGTATTCTGTTGACTCCACATGCCTAACGGTGGATGAATGGGGGGTGAATCACCTTGTATGTTTACATTCACATTCTAAAACTGGAGCATATGCTGGAAGCTTATAGCCAGAGATTTTATATCCTTGGTACTTTTAGTTCTGGAGTGTTTTGCTTGCTCTGTAATAGTCATTTTAGGAAAAAGATGAAATGTCTGAAATGTTATCATTTGATGTGATAATCAAAAATTGACATCTAGGAACTAAGAAGGAAACAGCCCTATTGCTGTAAGAATGCAGACTTAGATTCAGAGAAAATAAATTATGAGATGAGAACATCCTTTTAATATAAGGCTATAATAAACATACAATTTTACAGGCTTTCCCAAAATTATTTTGTTTACATTCATTCCCTTAATTCGTTTTTCTCTGTATTTTCTAATCTCCATATTAGGTTATCTCTAAGCCTATATTTATCCATCAACTGGAAATAGCTCTTTTAGAACCTGTTCAGGTAAATATGCAAAGCAGAAGTTTGCAGACACTAAATTTAAACAATCAAGAAAATGTCTAAATCGGAAATTAATAAAACATTGACTCGATACAATTTGGTGACGCTTCATGAGCTTTCAGCCAGCATTGCATGAAGGTCCACAAAGATAATTTTTAGTTTACAAATCAATATCCTGATAGGCAGTAAAAAAAATCCAATGACTGCCTAAATCATGGAAAGCCAATAGACAGCACAAGTAATTTTAAATCTGCAGATCACTGACCATTGCATCCGCAGCAGTCATGTGGGTCTGTGCCTTGCCACTTTTTGCTGATACAACTTCAAAATTTTGGCTTACTTTCCATTTCCAATCAATTTCACTTATCCTCTTTGCTCTGCATATGTGTGTATATGCAGCATGTATAGGCACAAACAAACTCTCAAAATGGCAAAAAAACATTTAATTCCTATGACCAGGAAATGATGAAGAAGTATCCTCCTCTCATCCTCCTGGTACCTGAACGAAGCTCACCCTTCTTGCTGTCTGAATGGGCTTATACTGCACTCTCCTTGCAATGGGCTATGTAGTAAAGCACAGTTAGGAGATTATAGATGGAAGAGAGCAACTGGTCAAACAAATCTTCTGTAAACTTCTGGGCACAGCGTCTTGAAAAGAATATAGACTGCTTCCACTCTGGCCTTCCCTCACTTTCATTTTCCTTAAATTACCTAGTATATGCTCAGATCAGAGCAGAAAGAATGCCTTGTACTCCCTGATCATCTGTTAAACTCCAGGTTTAGCTTGGACAACTGGGATTTGGGCCTGGAGCTATTTGGTTGTTGTTTAATGCATAGAAATATAGCAAACTGCATAAGCTGTTCTCAGCAACCATCCTTCTCTGAAGGATCCAGGCTGAAACAGCATGGTCGCAGACACCTATTACTATTTTTAACTTGTTAGCACATGTGCACTCACTAGGTTTCTTTTTATAAAATTAATCGCCCGAAATGTGTTCTGTGATGGCTGCAATGGCTGTCAGAGGTGCAATCTCACCCGGCTTGGGGCTCTGTTAACACAGACAGGAGGAGACACATTATTGTGACAACTACAAGTGAGTTGGAGGGAGGAAATCCGCTTCTTGTCAGTGTGTGAGATGGTTTGCCCAGGGGATGAGGAGGGTGAAAAGAGTTTGTCAGCTACTGGGCAGAGAACTTAGCAAGAAGTGGCAGTAGGAGGCAAATACAACAGAAAAAGACCAAATCAGAAGGTGTGATTTGCAGAATGAGCTAAGCAAATAATAGCATTTGGTTGCCCAAGGTTGTTAGTGGCTGCCTCTCCCAGTATCAAATGGCGCTAGATTGCAGTGGATGCTCCTAGCTCATAAGCTTCCTTGCCTGGTTCGACATAACCAAGCATAGCTAGGTATAGCTAAGCCACTCAGCATCTCGGCGTTAGTTAGAGTCTTGTCTTCAAATTAAACCTACTGATTAGGCTGGTTAAGTCATTGGTGTTTCTGACTCCTAAGTTGGTTGGCTTGTTCCAGCATGGGCCTTGCAGAGAAGGCCTGGAAGTTGGACCCATGTTATATATGGTTGTGAACGAAACACTTCAATGTTATTTATTGTCAGCCAAAATTGCCAAAATAAGATGTTTGGTGACAGCAAAGAGAAGGGAGAGTGAAGGGAGAGTGAATAGTATTCACACCTGGACAGAGGGACATGTCTGCTGTCTGTTGACAGAGCACTTCAATTCAGGTGAAGACGCAAAAACAGCTTTTTTTTTTTTTTTAATAAAATTGTTGGCTTTCTGCCAGTGGTGGTTTTCTCCTTCTGATCAATCACAGTCTGTCTTCAATCTCATCTCTCTTAATCCTTCTGTTTGTGCTGATTTAAATATAGATGTTATGCATTTTATTAGTCAGAAGCCCTCTTCCTCTTTTATTAAGGGCTTGGCTTATCTCAATGGCTTAGCTGCTAAAGACTACATAATGTCACTGGTTATTGAGTTTGACAATAAGAGGAAATGGGTGACTCATTAAAATGGTTTGCATTGGAAAAAATATATTGCAGAGAAACTGCAAACCTGTGAAGCTTCTGTAACTGCCAATGGACAAAGCTGACTTTGATTTACAATATAAATAGTAAATACCGAATTTATTCTTTGCTTAATTCGCTTTAGTACTTGTCCTCTTTATCCATGGACTTCACAAAGGCAGGTAAGAATTGTTAGCCTTTATAAAGGCAGAAAAACTTGAGAGAGAGAGGCTTGGCCAAGGTCATAAAGTAAGTCACTGGTCAAATCAAGTTATAGAGCACAATCCTTTATCTTATCCACTAAACCATGCTTCCTCTTGGGCTAACTTTAATGTAGATTGAAAACCTGACCCCATTTTAAGTGTTTTGTCATTGACTTTAGGGCTGCATAAGTTTTCCCTTCAAAGATTTTTTCAGCGTCTGAATTCCCTGCATGACCTATGCATTAATATCTGTAACTGTAATCTATAACTTAATTGTATTTATTCCGTGGCAAGGTTTTGTAATTGCAAATGCCACTTCTTATCGTCATCAGATAAAGGTTGCATTACTTAGACATTGAACTGGAATACTGATTGATGGTTTTCAATGAAAAGAGTGTAGAAAGCAGTGGTTTTTTCCTCTAATGCTTCCTTGACAAGCATAATTTAACTAAGAAAATGTGTGTCCCCTTTGGCTTGTTCATGCCTGACCATAACAGCTGAAATGTCATTTTAATCCAAGTTCTCATCCATTAGAAATAACATATTAAAGGATTGATTTTGTTGAACAGAAATAGTCTTTTTTACTGCATCAGGAGAACACTTTGGAGTGGTACTTGCAAAAATCTTTGACCTCAAGGTTTCACATACCTCATAACTGGTATAATCTGATGATGTAAAGCTTTTTTGTATGTAATCCCATGTTGCTTAAAAATCTAGAACCTAGAAAACCAATTAAACTACATCAGCTGTTGCAATTAGTGTACAGTTCTGAATTCACCATTGCCCTCTACAAAGGTGAAAACCACTCTTGTGATAGTCTGCAGGACCTAGAGGCACTGTCCCCGAAGGACTGTAAATTAAGCCCAGGTATATTGACCAGAACACACATTAATGTTCTGCCTCTTTGCTTTCTTTCAGTATGTCCTGTAAAGGATTTACAGAACTGTTATCCTAGTCTGGGAAAATTCCTAGAGAGCTGAGTGTATCT